ACGTTTAATTTTTTTGTATGTTTTGTATTTTTGTTGTTAATTTTTACTATTCGTTCCTGTTTTCCATATACTCAAATCATATAAGAACTTTGGTATGTAACTGTATATTTTTTTGTGATATTTGTGAGTATTTTTGAATTTAGAATTGGGAATATGATTATTTCTTAATGAGAATGTTTATTTTGTTGGAAATAGTTCACTTTTCTTTTTACTAAAAGTACATAATGTTTTGACGTCATAGGTTTATTTCATCATCTTTTCTTGGATTTCGTATAGCATAAAATATATCTTGAATAGATTTATCGAAATCTACTGAATTTTTAACAAGATATTTACTGACGAAATAAAAATCGAACTGATAACCCTGGTCCGCGCGGAGAGTGAGCTGACAACAACTGTCATTTGCTGTTGTCAAATTGATTATCCACGAAATCCGATAGATTTCACGTGTGAATAGGACCGTGATGTGAATATAAGTGTTTGAGGTCGACAAAAAAATTTAATATACACCTCGGCGAAAAACTGTCTATTCCCTCGCCTGATTGCTAGCCTCGGCTATCAATTTGCATCAGACTCGACTATATATACAGTTTTTCGTCCTTGGTACATAGATAACTATTGTGAACTCGTCAGTCATGATTACTTATACGTATTTCATATCTAGACAGGAAAATAATACTGATGAAGATTCCTACCCAAGGATTCCTGATCTTTCCAGATGTTCAAAAGTCTCGATGTTTCGTTCTCTAATGACGAACACGATTGAAGGGAGTTTCAGATCAAATATTATGCCGGACATACTAGGGAGATCCTGTCAACATTCTCGAGATTTTGTTTTTTAATGTTAATCTGGTGATATGGGTTTAAGCCGTGTGGCCCCAGTCTACAGTATAATTGGCCTGATAGCCATGATGAAAATATTCTATTTTTGTCTCAAACCCAATTTACTTCGTCTGTTTAGAATTGGATGGCTCGTTTAGCTTTTGAAACTTGCTGTTCAATGTGCTGGGCCCATCAGGTGAGCTTTCTATCAATGCACACGCTTATAAATATTCAACTTGTGAAGACCATTCTAACCTCGATTCTAACTCATGACCATCCAGGATTATTCTGGTTCTGGGAGGCCTCCACTCCCTTCGATTTGCCATTCCCAAGTGCCACCAATTGTCTTTGCAAGATTCCATTTGATCTTCCAACTAAGGAAGTATACTAAGTAACATCTGGCACATCACTGGCCTTCGAAAATCACTAGTAAATAAACTGTACAACAGCGGCGATAAAACTGCACCCTGTGAGGAACACCAGCTTCATTGGGCGCGATACCAGATCGTTGATCATCAAGTTTTACTTGAAAACTTAGATTTTTCAAGATGAACACATCAACTGAATCAAATCGTCAGGGAAGCCCATATCGATCATTTTGTACAAAATACCATCATGCCACACCTTGTCAAATGCTTTCGCTATGTCAAGGAGAGCAAGATGGGTCTTTTGTCTATATTTTTTTAACGATATTGTGTTCTCAATGAGTCTCAAGAGTTGTAGCTCAGTGAGTGGCCAGTTCTGAAACCGAACTGCTCATCTGATATCAGCTCGTTGATGTCGATAAATTCCTGTAACCATTGTTTAATCACTCGCTCAGTTATCTTCGATGGAGCAGAGCACATCAGGAGACTGATCGGACGATAGCTCTGAGGAAGAGCATTATCCTGGCCCTGCTTCTAAGCATCACTATTCACTACTTTGGCATGATATTTCCATCTTTGAAGGAGATATAATATGTAGTTTCAACATAGCGTTTATGATTTTACAGAAGTAAGTGATGAAATTACCATCAGGAATAATTTTCTCAAATCGTGAACATCAGTAGGTATTTTATGCACTAGCAGGCCGTAAAGTGTACTTTACCGCCCGGTTTTGCGGGCGTTAAGTTGCACTTTACCACCCGCGGGCTCATTATGGCCCACGGGCCACGCCCCGCCCGCTGTTCTGTTTCCTTATATTAGGGATTTAATTCATTCAATTCATGAAAAACCTATGATCGTTTTTCAAGATTCTATCTAATATATGCAGCGGAATATCATAAACTTCTTCTCTATCCGATTCCATAGTTCGCTATTATTAATATCACTAATTTTCACTGTTTAGTCAAAGAATGAAAATTTTCAACTTGGATGTATTGCTATAGACAACAACCATCAGCTTGCTTGACATCGTCAAAATTAGGTAGGTATATATACTATGGGTATGCATATTGTTAAATTCTGAAGAATGAATCTCTTCTAGAGATCAAAGAGTTTTACTATTACTGAATTAATACGTAACAAATTAAATTCTGGGAAATATTAGTTTATCGAAATCTAGTCATTACTTTTGAGTCAGAAACGTGCGTGAAATGCGTTTATGGCCTTCAGCGTGTGATGGCCCTCGGCTAGCGCCATCGGGCCATTATTCACGCCACAGGCCATAAACCCCTTCTTTACGCCCTTGATACATAAATAACTATGAATGGGGCAGGACTACTCGCTCCACAGAACTATCCTATTTGTGATTATACAGCTGTGACTCATTCAACTTGAATTGTGATACGACCCAGCAGAGATTGGCAGCTTCAGCTTTTTCGGCAGTGAATTCTCCCTGAAGAGCTGATTTCAACGACCCATCATACTTAGGGTCTATAACAGTGAAAGTTACTGACATTTATAGGGTGTGCAAAATCGAGATTTTCCAAGTTCAGGATTTTTTTCTGTCGAAACTGTTCATTATTCGTCAAAACGGTTCACATGTCCCTATCTCAACTTTTCACTCACTATCAATTGGTGTTCAATTGACATTTAATTAAAACAAATTATAAATTTAGATTTTTTGACCACCTTGTATCAATTTCAATTGAACACCAATTGATAGTGAGTGAAAAGTTTAGATATTGACATGTAAACCGTTTCGACGAATAATGAATAGTTTCGACACAAAAAGGTCCTGAACTTGGAAAATCTTGATTTTTCACACCCTTTATCTCAGTAAATATTACTGCTAGACCCCAAGTATGATGAGACGTCGAAATCAGCTCATCAGGAAGAATTCAAAAATGAAATAAAATATAGGGTGTTCCAATAAAAAAAACATAGCTTTGATGCACTGATAAAAAGGATTCCTTGGATAGAAGGAATTTGACTTTACCTCAAGGGCGCCAAGCATTTGAATAGGGCGGAATGCATGGACATTTCGACCCAATATTCCAAAAACTTTGAGGCAAGCGCCTAAGTTTCTTTAGCATGAAATTAAAATATCCCATCAACTTGTTTTAGCTTCTTATTTATCCTTGGGCGAAGAGTTGTGGAAATCTAGAAAAAACAACCATTGATGAAAAACTCATTTATTTTATAAAATAACACATGAAACATTTCATATGATGATGAAATACCTATCTACTGAAATAAGTATAGGTGGGTACTTACCTTGAAATGTTTGCTTCATATGGCTCAAACGCCACGCATCTAAAAGTTTTTCAAACTCCACTGAATCGCGCATGATCCACAGCACAACGCAACACGACAGATATGGCCGCTAAAATGCATTGTCAACGGGACGGTACTCGGTACGATGCAGAAGAAGAAGGATGATGGAAAGATGGGGTCGACCCATGCATTGCGCATGACTCAAACGGAGTCGGTATGTTTTCGGTTAACCTCGGGTGGACTCGATCTCATCAACGGTCTCAACCGAACGATTTCAGATCTTGTATCAAAGTCTTGTGATCTTGAGGTAGATGCAAACCACGCAGGACTAGAGACAAGGTCGATGATGTTCTCTCAAAAGCGTTCACAGCCAAAAGATTCGAAACCTTATTACAAAAACAGCAATAATCTGCAGATGAGAGCAATGTATTTGAAAGGAAGAAATTGTCTTTGTCAGGAGAGAAAAGAATCTAAAAGCATCATTCTTTTGTCACCAATCGGGTATTTTTATCAGTGTGTGCTGTGACCTTACGGAACACCCTGTGTATTTCAAAGAAATTTTGAAATGTGAAGCTCGGTTATCACTGTAATTTGAATGCAAAACTGTTTTTTGTATCTCTCAAGACAACAGAGAAATCGAACTCTGATGGAGTCTTAGTTGGCCACCCTGTACTTGACTCCGTTGTCCGTTCTCTTCTTTTAGAGGAGGAATGTCAGTCATCAACTTCCAAAGACCACCAGGGCCTTCTTCAAAACTTTTCAGAGTGGTCTGCCATCTAGAGTTTCGGAAATTATCAATCTCAGTTCTTACGATATTACGGGCTTCGTAATATTCCAATTGATGAGGTGAGGAGGATAGAGAGTTCTCATGACTGAAAATGCTAGTCGGGGGGACCAGGTAGTGGAAAAAACAACACCAATCGAGAGCGTACCGAAAAAACCAGTGAAAGGCCCCCGACCGAACGCCGAACGAAACATTTTCGGTTCTCGACGAGAGTGTGAGTGTGCGAGCGATTCCCGCGACCTTGGCCGAAGTTGCGTCGCTCGTTTGTCTGGGTAATTCAGTCAAGGTTCGAGTCGATGAACTGCCGTCTCCCCACCGCCACAGGGGCGGGGCCTAACCGCTCTCAGCCAATGCGGCGACGGCGCGCTCGCTCGCCATTGGCCGCCGCCAGCATTGTTGTCAGTGACCTCCAACTTGAAAATACGATGAACCCAAGTTCGCGGTGTGCTGCTAATATCTCGTCCCCTCCCCTCCCCGCGCGTTCGCCCAAGAATGGTGTGTTGGTTGTTGCCCTTCAGAGTTCAGGTAATATTTTACTATGCGGCCTGTGGAGAGCGGGCCCAGTATCAACTGGGACTTTCACTATCGTCAGTTCTTCAGTTGGATTAGTTGCTTCGGTGTTTGTCGATGCATTCGTTGGTGCGCTCCTCTTCTGCTTTGCTGACAAGTGACATGTTTGTTATCGGTTTTCAGTGATCGAGAAGGGACTTTATTTTCGGTGCCGGTGTTTTTCTCTTTGGACTAAGTGTGATATCAAGATGATTATTTCACCGGACAGTAGCGTGCCTGAGTCCACCACTCATTTTACGGATTTCAACAATGGCTCTACTGGCCACCGGGAACCGGCTCTCAATTTAGGTAGGGGTGGAAAAATTAGTGAAGTTTTTCTCCAAAGGGTAAACTGTTGTAAAAATTGTGTGTCTATATGCACCAAACTTCAATTTCACAAGGAATTCCAGGGAATTTCAGTGGTTTGCAAAGCATAATTACCTATACCGCACTTTACCCAAGGAATTCCATCAAGGAAATCCAAGAAATTTCAAGGAATTCCAGTTGTTTGTACAACAGAATATGTTTCACCAATCTGATATCTATGGGAATCATGAGAACATGGCATAAATATTACCTATTCTCAAGCCTATTGCTACCTAGGTATACTATTAGAATATTGAATTATGTAAACATACTATACCTATATCTATTCATTATACAGTATTCTGAATCTTGAACCACCCTGTTTCAAATAAATGTCAGTAGATATTAAATCACAAGTTGAGATAGGGACATGAGAGTCGTTTTGACCAATAATGGAATAGTTTCGACACAAAAAAATGCTAAAGTTGAAAAATCTCGATTTTGAACACTGTATATCCCTGCCTGAAACCATCACAGCTAGACCCCAAGTGTGATGCATTGATGAAATTAGCTCTTCGGGAAGAATCTAAAAATGCAATAAAATGAAAGGTGTTCCATTTGAAATAACAAAGTTGTTGCTTCTTTTCGTTAGAAGCGGCAACGCCGCAGGGTTGAAAATGTTTTAGAACGATGTCCCCCCTCGAAAATGTAGTTGACGTGTTCCAGATTTTTTTCATAATCCGGTTTTGGCGACCTACAGAGCCTCTGTTTTGTTTCCAAAGGCCCACTCTGTATATAAGAAGAAACAAAAATCATGCACCTGTAAATGCGAGTCTACCGAGGAGTGTACTTACTACTTAACTCGACTATTGAGTATAATAATATCAATAGCATTACACTTCACCATTGAGATAGGTGTAGGGGGATGTTCATTCCAAGGATCTTTCAAGATATGATCAAGAAAATTTTCATTTTGTTTACATTTTACTTTTTCGAAATCTGGAATTTTGTGTAAAAAATTGAAAAGTAGGGAAGTTACAAACCAAGTACACCTCGTAATCCTAATTATTGCAGTAGGTATATAGATTCCTAAATATTTCTTGATGATAGTAATTTTTGTCATTTGGTGCGTTCATTGGGCTCTCTTCTCCCCACATCTAAATTAAATTTCAGATTGAATCTAAAATATACCAGTAACTATTGAAGGTTTTGAGGAAGTAGACAATCAAGATGTTATATTGAGTGTGATCACAAGGATGACGATGACACCGATGAAGATGCCTCTTGCTCGACTTGTTTGTTGAAAATTAGATTTTTTGATGAAGTTTCACCTTCATTTTTATCTTTTTTTTTTTTTCAAAGAATAGGTAACTCTTTATGTGGTCATGTGATGTAAGCAATCTGTGTTTGGTAAAGCAAGATAAGCAAACAATTTCATGGGGAAAAAGTTCTATTGTTGAATCCAATGAAAATGAAACAAAAAATAACAATGGACCACATTGATTTTTACCATAAATATTAATCAGATAACCATCATCAGGTATATAGGTAACCACTAAGTCAGGTATCCCTCTGCGGCGCCACTGAAATAATCACGGTGAATCTACACTGAGGAAAATTTTCATGTACCATAGTTAGATATCGAATTATCCCATCAAGAAACTCTAATAGCATAGGGGACAATCGACAATCACCTGTGCTGTGATTATAAAGTCGACTTTGCTGATTATTATGGTATGGTTGTTCTGCAATGTTTCTGAATGTACCTATCTGACTTTGCTACCACTAGTGAGTGCATCTGATGATGGGAGTAGGACACTGTTTTTATCATAGGTAGAGAACTTTGCTAATATAGGTGCGGATGAGCATAATATAGATAGTTGGATAGTTGCATGACCTTCTTGCTGATAGTTATTCAGTTGTTTTCCAGGATTGTTTTCATGAAGGAAGGTACAATTTTAACTGAAATCCAATTTCACACTATCCATCCACCAATTTCCACCTTGTTTGGTATGAATTTATAGATTCATATAGAAAATTTCGGAGCAAGATCTATATGAAATTCAATAGATTTATCAATTGATTCACCCTCAGAAAAAACAAAAGTTTTCACACCACATTCTATAAAGAAGTTCTGGAACCAATTTGACAATTTTAAATTTTCAATGGACCAGAAAGGAGGAAATGTATCAGCAAGTTGTTTGGACGAATAAACTTCGATTTATCGCTTCGTCACTAGAATATGTTCGTGTTCGTATGTGTTCGTAGTGTTATGAAATTTGCGGAAATTTGTTCATCTCGCACATGGTCACCTGATATGAGCAACAAGATTTTGCAAGATCGGACTAGGTAGTGAATGTCAGCTCTTCATTTCTTCTGTGTCAAATTGAATAAGTTTTAGGAACACGTTTTTTAATAAGATGGGAATTGGAAAATTTAAATGAGCAGGCAGAATTCACTTACTACCCCCCCACCAACAATTTTCCTTAATGATACGAGAATTAAGTTTGCAGCGGCATTTTCGATTTCTAGACAGAGCTGCCATTGCTTCACATTTGACATTCCATGAGCGATGAGATTTTTTTGAAATGATAACACAATGGAGTTTTGTGATATCAGATACGGAAATAATATCGATGACATACAAAGTACCTCATTGACGTATCAAACACAGTAAAACAAGAGCAATTTTGTGTTATTGCAGTTGAAAAATAACTATTATTGGTCTAGCCCCATCTCGTATGCATTCCTACCATCCTACCACTTACACGGTCCATTATACAACCGCGATGCGATGCATTATGCGTAGAATAAACACCACTTTCTCCGATGAGGTAACTGACACGCATATCGCCTTGCATTTCTTTATGGAGAAAGTAGCTAAGCGCTTACACACACACACACTTATACGCTGCTCACTGCTTTCTTTCATTCTTCTTTCTTTATTTCTTTCGATCGTCGGTGACGTGACGTCACATTTCTTCTTCTCGATTTTGTTTTTATTCGATCGTGACTCAGTGACTCGTTTGTTTCAGAATTCGACGGCACCACCGTACTATGCAGAGTGTGCGGAGACAAAGCTTCCGGTTTCCATTATGGGGTGCACTCTTGCGAGGGATGCAAGGTAAGAATAGTCCGTTTTTTACCAATTTTCTAGGGTCCAAATTTTGTTTTCAAAATATCAAGACTCTCAAATCCATTTGCCTCATTATCCATAGGTTGCATTCGAGGTTGCATTACTTTTCAGTACATACAAATGGCTCCCCTTCATCACATCATCATGTCACATAGAAACTCATGGAAAAATTTATATGAGGATATATGAGAATCAAGTTGGAAAGTGAAACAGTGATTTCTCTTAGAAGTACTGTGACATTCATAAGCTTGAGATGTATTTTGCAGTTACCTATACATTTTATATTCACTTCCTATTGGTATAATGCCAATGCTCAAAGAACTCTATGAGTTTGAACTGTGTTACACAGATACATTCATAATCAGTTTCTAATGGCAAATCCTGATTGTTGTAAATCTTGCTCGGAATCTTGACATTTTTGAGAGTAAAATATTTTATATTCAGGAGGTATATCCGTCATGAGGGTATCCCGAAGGGTATCCCGAAGATATTCCTAATAACAATCATTCACGATAGTCCAGTCATTATATCCATATAACGGACCTTACCCGTGAATAATTTTTTAGTAGTTTTTTCTTTCATAGGTGTCTCGGGGGGGTCACTGGGAGTGTAAATTCAAAATGGCGACCAAATCAAGCTTTTGCGTATGTTGAATAACTCGGTCATTTTTGATTCTACAGAAAAAGTTTGGGAACAAAAATTGTAGTAAATTTGGTTTTCTACAAGTTTGGTCCTTACAATTTTTCTGATAGGATCGATATTTTGTAAATTAAACCTGAAAAAAGCGACAAATTCGAAATATTTTCATTATCTCGTTTATTTTCAACTTTACGGCATAAATGAACAGAAACAAACTTGTAGAGAATCAAATTTTGGACAAATTTTGTCTCTACCTGTTTTTCCGAAAATCGATATTTTCGGAATTAAACCTAAAAAAAAACGACTCATTCGAAATATCATCATTATCTCGTTTATTCTCAACTTTACACCATAAATGAGAAGAAACAAACTTGTAGAGAATCAAATTTTGGACAAATTTGGTCTTCACCTGTTTTTTCGAAAATCGATATTTTCGGAATTTAACCAGAAAATATGTACTCATTCAGAAATATTCGCAATATCTCCTCTTTTTCAATTCTGCAGGTGCAACGAATAGGGCGAAAGTTGTATACAATAAAATGAAAATGATAATGAAAATATTTCGAATTTGTCGCTTTTTTCAGGTTTAATTTACAAAATATCGATCCTATCAGAAAAATTGTAGGGACCAAACTTGTAGAGAACCAAATTTACTACAATTTTTGTCCCCAAACTTTTTCTGTAGAATCAAAAATGGCCGAGTTATTCAAGAAAAACCGTTTTTTAACAAAAAAACAGTTTTCGAACATACGCAAAAGCTTGATTTGGTCGCTATTTTGAATTTACACTCCCAGTGACCCCCCCGAGACACCTATGAAAAAAAAAACACTAAAAAATTATTCACGGGTCAAAGTCTATAATGACTGGACTACGAACTTATGTGCAAACTGATGTGTTTTGCATTTGCAGATTGCAGTTATACAGGGTGCATCTAAATAGCACCGAAAAAAATCAAGGGGTGAATCTATGTGATATTTTAGAAAATAAAGTTCATATGGACATGTGTCCTAAATTGCTACGTTTTCGAGATACAGAGTATTAATATTTCCATGAAAGATCGTTTTTTTATTCATTACTCAATTGTCTTTTCATCAATTTCAATGAAACGTGGTTTTTTTAATAGTGGTATGGATCTTCTTCTGGAGCAGTTAGATTCGAAATAATATTTCCAGTGGCGTGACAGTGGGTATATTTATCGATATTTATGGTGATTGTCATTGTTCGCCACCGGTTTTTCTGAGGTTAATATTTTAGTTAGATTTAACTATTGAAATACCAACTTTTTTATCTTCCGTGTGATTTTTGGATCTAGCCTAGTTTTTGAGGAAACAATTAGAATTCGATTTGACTCCAAATTTAATGTAGGTGTTTTCAAGACTTCCATTGAGATTACTCGATAGCCCCAATTTCTATCATTTTGAAATTTTGGGGCATTCTCAGTCTCCAACCATACTGAATTTTGGCATCATGAAAGTTTATACAGGGGGGTTAGAAATAAAAACAATTAATACTCCCAACTTCAACATCCTGCGTATCTCAAAAACGGAGCAAAATAGGACACATGTATATGAACATTATATTTGCTAGAAAATCACAAGGAATCATCCCTTGAAGTTTTTCGACGTTATTTAGATACACCCAGTATGTGCAGTAATGTTCACGCTCACACTGTATACCTACTTACTATATCGATAAATGGCACTGAAGTTTATTTTTCATGAATACGAATTATTCGGATGGAATCTCTGAAAAATTCCACAATAAAGAGGGCTAACATTTTCAATGTCGTCAGTTGGTGCTACTAAAACATGAGGTAAATGTCAAAGTCAAAAATCACAAAAATTTTCCGGATAGCCCTAGAGGGAATGGCCTGTTTTATCGAGAATATTCAGAATTTTTTTTTGAATATTTGAACAAATAGAAAACCTCAAATTTCGCTTTCGCATCTGGGTTTCTGGGTAGTTGGGTGATCTGTGCTGAGATAGGTAAATATCATATCTCAAAGTTTTTGTAGAGCCATTCTGACTATTCTTCCTTCCAAATAATAATTTTGAATAATAACGTCACGTCACCTTCATTCTATAACCTATAAGGAAGTGAGTTAATTATTCGCAAACATTACCTACATTTGCATTTCGCACCGAGGATTCGGTAATGAACAAGAACCTTGGCGAAATTTCTAACAAGGAAGTCTCTTTGCCAATGAAACAAATGCTCGCCTTGAAATTTTGGCCACAAAATCACACGCCCGGAAACGACAGCCCAATATCGTATCGAATTTCGTGTTTATTTTGTGGAACAGGGAAACCGAATTTTGTTCCACTGCCAGAGCATTCTTTGTTGTTTCGTATCTACATCGCACTCGCTCGCTACCTGGTAGGAACCTATTCTGTTGTGCAAAATGAAGATTGAAGGTTCAAGGTCGACCATTGTGATGTCAATGGCCGATGTATGGTATATGGTATATGGTATATGGTAGGTGTAATGTGTGTGTAGGTACACATTTTTTGCTGTGAGTTGGTGGGAGAAGCGAATGAGACCACTCCAACCGCGATTTGCATAGTTTCTGACTCGAAAAAGGAGCTTACTCTGCTGATCCATCAATCTGAATCCATGTTTATAATAATAATATTAATAATAATACATAATTCATCAATTCTTCAGATTACAAAAGTAATATTGGACAGGTCAAATAAATCAACGTTCATATACATAAATAACAGCAACAAAAAATAGATGAAAAGTATAACATTTCACACAGAACAGTTTGAGACACAATTGTTTGCATTGAAAAACTCTAAGATATTCTGAAAACAACCCCTCGAGCAACCCTGCATGAGAGTTTTTTTTAAGATTATTCTTGAACTTGTTGAGCTTTACATTCATAGTGACATACCTACATGGGCAAATGATAAAAAACGTTATCGCAATATAAAAAGGTTTTGATAAGGACTCAATATAGTATAGATAACTCTTATTTCTAATAGTTACATTACACAAAATGAATGAACAAAAACTGAGTGATATTGTATTAAGTCAGATTCATGTATACAGGGTGGCCCACGGACCCCACGGTCGATGGTACCTTAGACGTATACGGAAAACGGTACATTGGATTATCCTGAAAATTTGGTTACTTCAATAAGCGTTTGTGATCTAACGATTCAAAATATTTTCAGCGATGCAGCATTGTCACTTTTACCAAAAAGTAGCATCATCTTTGTTATTTCAAATGGAACACCCTGTATTTCATTGCTTTTTTGGATTCTTCTCGAAGAGCTGATTTCATCAATGCATCACACTTAGGGTCTAGCAGGAATTATTACAGAGATATAGGGTGTTCAAAATCGAGATTTTTCAATTTCAGGAATTTTTTGTGTCGAAACTATTCATTATCGATCAAAACGGCTTACATGTCCCTATCTTAACTTTCGATTCACTATCTACTGACATTTAATTGGAACAGATGCAGGGTGATCAAAATTCTGAATCTTGGACCATCCTGTATTTTTTCCAATAAAATGTCGGTAGATAGTTATAGGGACATGTAAGCCGTTTTGACCAATGATGAATAGTTTCAACACAAAAAAATTCTAAAGTTGAAATATCTCGATTTTGAACACCCCATATCTCTGTAATAATTCCTGCTAGACCCCAAGTGTGATGCAATGATGAAATCAGCTCTTCGGGAAGAATCTAAAAACGCAATAAAATACAAGGTGTTCCATTTGAAATAACAAAGACAATGCTACTTTCTGGTAAAAATGGCAACGCTGCTTCGCTGAAAATATTTTGAATCGTTAGATCACAAACGCTTATTAGAGTAACCAAATTTTCAAGATAATCCAATGTACCGATTTCCGTATACGTCTAAGGTACCATCGACCGTGGGCCACCCTGTATAAGAAAAAAATTCGAAATACGTTTTTATTCATGATAGTGATGATACTAAATTACTTATAGCACCAATTAATGAAAAATATTTATATATATTGGTAGGAGAATAGTATAAAAAGAGAAAGAACAAGAATAACTACAAAAAAAATATATCTTTTCATTTAGCATTGTGCGGTGTCTAGGTATAGGTAATATTCCTATTCCAACCAATTCATCTATGGATATACCTATATAATAACTCAAATCAAACCCTCATCGACGTATACTCAACCTACGCCATTGCTGAATTATATTCATCTTTTTAATTTCAAGGTCCGTTCACTTAAAACGAGAGTTCAAGTACGATCGCCCAGGTCATTATGTAGGAAGCCATTTTTTGCGATAGCTTAATCTTGTTCGCCGATTAAACGAAATAATAATAATTGTGGATGGTTACAAGGTTGGCAACTTAT